GCGGCTGGTTTGTCTGTGCGCGGCTGGTTTGTCTGTGCGCGGGGGCGTGCTCGTACATGCCTCCCCACCTAAAGGCAGCTGCAGCAGGGGTGCTCAGAGATCAGTACTTGTTTACTCCCGTAGCCACCGGAGGCGATGTGGCTTTTCCCCTTTTGCCTTCCCTCGGAGCCCCGGGGGTGCCCCAGCGGAACCGCTCCTGTACCCCGCACCCCGGGGGTCCCGAGCATGGCTTTGTCCTCACATTTGTTTACCGTGGCCTTAAGGCCACGTTCACATCGGGGTCTCCAGGCAGGGTCCTCCACGCAGAGCAAAAGCCCTGGCTCCGGGCAGCTGGTGGGCCACCAAGCCCATGGGCGCAAGCAGAGCGAAGGGCACGCTGGTCAGCAGGGGAAGTGTCTTCTCACGGGCCACTGGCCAAACCTCAGCCCTGGTTCGTTGAGGACACCCCAGAAATGCAACTTTTAGTCTTCCGCATGCCTCATGCACGCTGCTCAACGGCATATTTTCCCTTGGGACTGTACAATTATCCCAGCTTTTCTATCACTTGCTTTGAAAGGGGAAAAACCCTGGGTGGACGGGAGGACTGATGTATATTATTCAGCTAGCGATGGCCAAGAAGAGTGTAAAGCGTCAAGCCTCCCGATGCCATGCGTCTCCCTTTTTGCAAAACCAAAGGGGAGATGAAAGAAGCAGCAGAAGTCCTTTTTTCTTGTCTTTTTTTTTTTTTTTGTTAAAAACACAGAGTGTAGCTTCTTTGATAGAAAACTCATTCTTCCCCTACCCTATGAGCAGCAGAAGTCCTTTTTTCTTGGGTTTTTTTTTTTTTTTTTTTTTGTTAAAAACACAGAGTGTAGCTTCTTTGATAGAAAACTCATTCTTCCCCTAGGGTATATGCCCTGCCCCTATGCAAAGCTGCAAATGAAATACAGCCTGATATTTACGTGTACAGTTCTTCCAGTCAAAGATCAGAAATCAGGCCATTAAAGGCACAATAATAACACACAGTTAAATCCTAAGATTTCTTTTTCAGTAAAAATAATTCAGTAATGAAATACATAAAAATACACATGTGAAGTAATTTGAATAAAAGATGAAAGTACACCGCTTTTGCTTGTCTGATGTTAGAGATGTACCTGAATAGTGCTTTTGGTCTTTTCTCTGCACACAGCATCTATTCTACCTTAGACTCTCAGCCTCAGGGGACTCTCTCATTGATTCTCTATACACAAGGGAGATCTGCAAAACACCTTCAAAAGATAATCCAGAGAGCTTAAACTCACAGCTTTACTGCATACTAAAAATGTTGGTGTGGGTTTTAGAGCACAGTCTCATCTACTTTCCCCCCACTAACCTCTGAATATTACATTAGTGATCACGAGCTGTCCCTCTGTCCTGCGAGAAGGGAGGAGCTACCTACCTGGCCCCCTCCTCTTGCCGCTCCATAGGTGCCAGCCGTCCTTTCTTCTCAGTGCTTCCGCAGCATATGTGAGGTATAGCCAGAGCTGCCATTTCTGCTCTGTTCATAGGTTGGAATTTGCTGTTCTCTTTCAAACCTCGAAGCAGCAGATGCTTCTCTCCCCCTTCACAACAAGGTCCATCATCCTACTGGAAAATATCACGTGTGCAAAATTGACATTAGAGCATTGCAATTACACAAAAATTGTGTAAATGCTACTGGAAATACTTCAGCGAAAGAGAGTATAATGTTTGCCACCTTTGCTTGGACCTGAGCTTTATCTGGGCCAGTTTCTCATCTCTCCTACTTAGTTCCAGCCAGAATCAAATGCTCAGAGGGAGTTTAAGGAACTCCCAAGTAGATAGAGTAGACTCCCAAGGTCTTATGTAGTAGCACCCCAAAGCATGACATTTAAAAAGCTCTCCTCAGCTTGCTACAGCAGTAACTGTTATGGACAGCAAGGCTGTTCAGTTGAGATTTGAATCATCCCCCTTGAATTGTACTTTTAAGAACATAATGTGGCAGCATGCACCTCATGCCACACTGCAAGAGGGGAAGAAATTTAAAAGATTTTTTAATTTTTTTTTTAAAAAAGCTTGCTAGACCATCAAAGGATTTCCCTCAAATCTCCTGCAAAGTCAACAAATTCAGAGTGCATTAGCAATCAAGAAGTTTTGATAGTTCCTATTGCTTCCGAACAGTTACAGCGTGTATAAAGAGGGTCTTGTCTACGGAAAGGGTAAATGGCTGTGCATGCAGATCCAGTCTACTAGTGAGGAATGAACTACCTCGGTGTTCTTACTGTGCAGCCAGCAAGCAGTTCAAGTGTAACTTCGAGGCCAAGGCTCTTTGAGATGCCTGCCAGCAGGACCTCATCCCTAGCTGTGGGAGGGAACAAGGTAGCAGGAGCTGCTGATGTAGAGAACCATCTTGTTTTCCCAGTCTAGGCAAGTCTGCCTCCATCTCAGTGCTATGGTGGGATAGCGAAGGAGCTGCTGCCATTTCCTGCCTGTGAAATGCTCCCAAAGATCCTCATCTTTAAAGTATGCAGGCTCTTAGCGATGATGAAGACTCTGGCATACAGTTCACGGGATCAGGGAAAGTCAACTTTCCTTGATAGGACCTCAGTGGAGAACATCAGAGAAACTGGCCGTACCTTAGCCTGTTGCTGGTTTGTACCTTAGCTTCCTGCCAGTATGCCAATGTGTTTCACTGATCTACTATTTTGCTCTGAACTTCTCTGGCACCTGTACATTTTGGGATATATGAAGTGGTTCTTACTTTCTCTGGCCAGGTCCCAGCTGTCTACTCCTGCCTCTGCAGCTCCAGACACAGAGGAGGCAGTTTGCCTGGCCAATAGTGCAAGATACTGACTGATACCTTAGCGGGAGGGTGCTGAAGAAGATAAATGTAAACATTTAACAACTGCCTTATTCAGCCCATCTGATACTTTAAATGAAGCAGAGGCCCTAGGGAGAGAAAATAAAGAAAAAGAGTATGTGATCATGTAATTAAAGACCGGATCATAATGAATATGCACAGAAGGGTTGAATTAAGGTTGTACTGGCAACGCAGCTTCTGATATTTCCTCACTTTTAAGCAACACAATGCAACCTTTACAACATTTCTTTCATGTTGTTTTGGCAGGAACTGTTTCTCGCCATTGGTTTGGAGAGCCTAGCACTTTGTGAGTTCTGTCATAATGGAAATAAATAATAGAAATACAACCACTTTTATCTGTGCCACGCACACACATACACATCCTGCAACTATTGCAACACCGTCTTTTCCCAGCTTTTTCTGAAGGAAGCTACTAAGTGTTCTTTATGGTAAGTGGGAAGATTCAAGTGTTCAAAGGAGAAGAATTAGAATTATTTGATTTTTTTTAAAAATTTTTCTGGTCCTAGAGTCTGAATTAATATGTATTTGTTTATGAAAATAAATACACTACACGTACAGCATGGATTTTTTTTCTTTCCTGTTTGGGAAATTATTCCTGACAAAATAAGGAAATGCAAGAAAGTGTGAAGGTGTTACAGGCTTTTTATGTGGTATCTTGTTAAAGCTTTTCAGTGTAGAAAAGCGTTAGATCTGTTCTCTTCCTATTCCAGTCAGTTCTAGCTGTGGTTTTGCACTGTTTGGCATTGACCTAATAAAGAAGTAATAGTTGAGAAATAATTGGTATTTGTTTCCAAAAAGCTGTATATGTGCCTTAGATTGGCATAAGCTTTCTCTCACCTGTTAGCTGAAGAGTACCGTTTGCAGTACATAAAATACAGCAACAATCCAGTTTATTTTTAGTGTAGGTTGATTTTATCAAAATGCCACATTATTTTTGTCATTTAGCAAGCATTTGAAAGCATATAGCAAGAGGTTGCTTCTTTATTTTTTGTTTCTGCAGAGGAAAGCTTACCATGGGATGCATAAAACATTTCTTAATGTTTTCGCTCTCTTTGGTCTTTGCTCTGAATACATAGTTACAGCTGTAGAGATATTAAGTTCCTATTCCAGGAGGCCGACGTAACCCACAGAGTCCGTAGCCAGCCCTGCATGTCCACGCTGCTCCCCACAGGACCCCATGGCCCCGTTGTGAGTTCCCACTTTGTTCTGTAAAGTTTTCAAGCAGGCACCCCTCAAGCTGTGGCAGTGATACTGGAATCCTTCTCGGAAAGACTTTGGCGGCATGACTTGGATTAAGATGGAGACAGAAGCAGTTAGCCCCCCCCTCGCTGCAGGGTGAGTGCCCTTGGGTGCCTTGTCAAGGGGTATCTTGGGCCTAATTTTTTTCCCTAAAGCCAGTCCTTGAGAGCAGGCTGCCATTCACGTTGTGTTGCCACAAGACATGTTTGGACTCGAGGTCGGGCTCAGACCTGGGCTCAGAAATGTCTTATGGATCCAGCCCATTTGTAAAGCGGCACTCTGCAGTGAGGCAGGGATAAGGGCTCTTCAGCTCTGATTGTAAGCCTTTCTCTCAACCCAGCATTATGACATTGAAAGTAACCGCAGTATTGTAGCAATGAGTGTTTTATCTTGAAAAAGTGGGGGGGCGAAGAAGTCAGTCGCATATTCTTCCAAAATGGAGAAGTCTTGCTTTTGAAAGCGTAAGATAGACTGGTATGAGTCAGAGAAAGGGCAAAAGTCTGATTTCTGACCACACTGGGAACCCCCCTCTCCCTTCAACATGCTTATGCGTGCACACACACACGCACTCACTCTGCATTTGTAGACTGGTCTATCAGGCAATGAATTCCTCAAACCATTTCTCACACAGAGTCCTGTTTAAGCAAATGGGACAAGTCCCATAAGCCAGAGTCCCATTCTGCAGTCCGGCAATAGTCTAACAAATGTCTCTGCCACTGCAGGAAGCTTGGGAGGAGATGGAAAGAATCGGAGAGGCAAGGGGAAGCTGTCAGCGTTGGTTATAGCTACAGCACGTTCTCCAGAAGTAATTTCAGGAAAACCAGCTCATGACATCCTAAAATTACAAACTCTGCTGCACTTAGTCTATACAGAAAAAGGCTTGCTCTGTGGGGGATAAGTTTGATTTCAAAGGGACCACTCACAGAGAAGAGATTCTTTGTGGCATGAGCCTCAGGTGGCAGAAACCGGAATCTGGCCAGGACAGATTCAACAGAAGGCTTTTCCTATGCTATTGCTTTGATTTCAGCAAACAACATGTGACAGCATGCACATGTAACAGATAAAAAGCAAATTCAGAAAATAGTATTCTGTTTTTGTTATAAAGATGAATTTTTTTCAAGTAGGATATAGCAGGTGTGGCAGCACATGGGGCACGTGTTTTTAACAAAGCAATCATAGTTTGGATCCAGTAACAACAAAAATTTAAGACGACAATAGAAGGAGATGATTTGAAAGCTTGTCAATACAGAGCTACTCACAACACAGAGTTATACATAACCATTATTACACATCCATTTCTTCATTTGTGTGCGCTTATGAATAAAACAGGAGAGACTAATATAGATGAGAGAAACAATCCAACAGTGCAATCCTGCATGGGAAAGCTATTAACAATAATATTAAAGTGAAAGGAGCTTTTAAGTGAAGAGAACGATTTAACCATTTGTTGTCATGCTCTGCAATCAAATTATGTCATCTCAAATGCCAGGTTTTTACCTCTCCTGTAGTTTTTCATGGTGCAGCTCGGATGGGAGGGGTGATAAATACATTTATAGTTCTCTGCTTCCCAGACCTCTCTTTTCTGGCCTGCAATATAGCCTCAGGAAGGCCTGAAATCATTCCAAAACTCCCTTGTCTGTAGTGGCTGGGGGGGGGGTGGCCGTCTGGTTTG